ATTTCTACAAGACAAGAGGGGCCCGTTCTGGGGGTGTGAAAGGATCGCAGAACCGGACCGCTAATCATTATGAAAACAAAATCAACAAATCAATGGGTCATTGAGGAAGACAGAGGCTGAGGCACTGGCTATACATATGGCCAAACCAGCCGCAATGTATCGAAGTCTCCAATTGCTCAAATGAATTATTCAGTCATCAGCTCTTATAATAAACTATATAATAGGCTCCCACTGAGAATAGCAAATCAAGGAGCAATAGATGTACATAAACTCAGCATCAAACACTAAAGCCTCTGTCATAACTATAAAGGGAAGGGTGGCAGCTCTCCTGTGTACAGTGCTATGGAATCCCTCCTGGCCAGAGATTCCAAATCCTTTTACCTGTAAAGGGTTAAGAAGCTCGGGTAACCTGGCTGACACCTGACCCAAAGGACCAATAAGGGGACAAGATACTTTCAAATCTTGGGGGGGGGAAAGGCTTTTGTGTTGTGCTCTTTGTTTAAGGGGTTGTTCGCTCTTGGGACTGAGAGGGACCAGACATCAATCCAGGCTCTCCACATCTTTCTAAACAAGTCTCTCATATTTCAAACTTGTAAGTAAAAAAGCCAGGCAAGGCGTCTTAGTTTTACTTTGTTTTCTCAACTTGTAAATGTACCTTTTACCAGAGTGTTTATCTTTGTTTGCTGTACTTTGAACCTAAGACAGAGGGGGGTCCTCTGAGCTCTTTAAGTTTGATTACCCTGTAAAGTTATTTTCCATCCTGATTTTACAGAGATGATTTTTACCTTTTTCTTTAATTAAAAGCCTTCTTTTTAAGAACCTGATTGATTTCTCCTTGTTTTTAAGATCCAAGGGGGTTTGGATCTGTATTCACCAGGAGTTGGTGAAAGGAAGGAGGGGGGAAGGGTCAATTTCTCCTTGTTTAAGATCCAAGGAGTTTGGATCTGTATTCACCAGGGAATTGGTGAGAGGTTTCTAAAAGCTTCCCAGGGAGGGAATGGTGGCAGCGGACCAGAACTAAGCTGGTAGTTAAGCTTAGAAGTCCTCATGCAAGCCCCTACATTTGTACCCTAAAGTTCAAAGTGGGGATACAGCCTTGACAGCCTCTCTCCACACAAATTCACCAGAGCATAAGTGACAGCTGCCACTCAGCCAGGTAATTATCAAGCATCCCATATGGGTTTATAAGCCAGACACATCTTGACCCTTCTCCATTTAAATCCAGGGCCATTCACAGGATTAATAGCACAGCCAGACACAGGTACTTCCCTGGACAAATCTACCTTTGCATAAGGGACTGGTTTAACCTATGAGCATAGAGACAGAATTAAATGATCAGTCTCAGCATTTCTTTATTGTCTCACAGGAGAACCTAGGACACCTGTCAGGAGACGGCCCTGTGGCGCTAGGTGCTGTACACACAGAACAAAAGGACGGGCCCTGTCCCTGAAAGCGACAATCTAAGACTAGACCCAGCAGGCGGGTGCTCCGGGCAGACAGGGGAGCACAAGGGAGCAGGGAGATGGTTAGGATAATGCAATGAGCTCATCCATTGTCGAGTGATCCAGAGGGTCCATGGCAGGGGTGAGGCTGAAGGAGGCGTTTGCAGGAGGTCAGTCCGGGGGCTCTGTGGGAAGTTACAGGCGGCTCCTCCCCGGACAAGGGCAGCCTGGGGGAAAGCGCGAAAGCATCTGAGCTAAAAGGCCTGTTTCATTTGCCTGGGGCCCTGCAGTGATGAGGGAGGAGTTGACACCGGGGGGTCGCCACCCAAGTCAGGTCAGGATTCAGGGTTTTTATGATTGTGTCTGAGTGAATTTACCCACATGGCTAACATGGCGCCTGCCCAGGCTGCAATTTCAGGGCAACGGGAACCAAGACGTGGAAAATCTGTGGCTAGAACGAGTCATTGTTGGTGTTGCTCCCTGTCGTCTCCCAGTGAAGAGTTCAATGGGCTCTGCCATGGCCCTGCTCTCGGTTGGGGCCTGAAATAACCATTCCCTGAGCTCCCTGCAGAGCGCGTGAGACACTGGGGACCCTGGGGAGCTTTATCACAACTTGGCCTCGTTCGCTGGGGAAATAAAGACAAAACAAAGAACAGTGTCAGTCAGGACCCCTCCCCCGTCCATTTTATGGATGAATTAAATTCAGTATGTTATGATGGGTGGGAGACCTCAGTGGAAATGGAGCTCTGAGCTCATATATGGTGAAGTTTCACACCTGATGCAGAAAGGCAACAATTTTCACGAGACTTCCCACAGCTTTGAGCTCCGAGCTCCATCTGGGACAGGGTCTTTACCACGTGCTGACATTTCATCCTTTCAGGGGGTTCGGGTGTTTTTGCGCTTTTTCTCTAAGTTTGAAATGGCTCCCTTCATAACCACCTCCAGAACTCGTACAGTGTCAGCAGCAGCAGCATCCAGGAAATTCTGCAACATGAAGTATGTGGTAGGGAGAGCAACTACTGCAGCTACCACAGATCCTACCACAGGTATAAATTTTAATGCAATTGTTGAATATTGCACTGCCCCGGCTGTGCACTTCGTCAGTATCTCAATTACAAGATCTTTTGTTATTTTTTCACTCAGTGGGGACTTTATAACGGCCTTCAGCTCTGCAATGGGAACCTTAGTCCGTCTAGCAAGTGCAGAGAGAGAGTTTTCATCAAGGCTGAAGTCCCTGCAGTACTCTTTCAGGGACGTCACCAGCATGGCAACATCACAAGCAATGGAGAGACCGGGGATAGGGACAGCAGCGATGCCACATGACACCAGACTTTTCCACCATATCTGCGTTTGCAGTTGTTCTTTTTTCTTCTCCAAAGTTTCTTTAGAAACATGGGACAGGGATCGTAGAAGAGCGAGTTTCTTGTGACTGGGGAGCTCATCCACAAGCTTTTCCTGCAATTTGGGAAAATCGTTTTTGCCTAAGTCCCCTCTAAATACAAGAAAAACCCGTGAGGAGGCCACCCCTCCTGCTTCCAGGCCTTCGATGCAGTCCTCTCTGATAGTATTGAGTATCGCACTCTCACTGTACTGAGATGGACTTTTCACGGAAGCATTGCTCTGATTCAGGATTCCCTCCTCCTCATAGTGTCGTTTTTCATTTGTCAAATCCTGATCAACCTTGGAGCGCACAAAGTAAAACTTCTTCCCCAGTCTCTGGATCTCCTGGGCGAGTTGAATATCCTGGTATTTGAAGCGGGTGCAGGAGATGATGA